GGGCATACCGGACTTATCAGGGCAGGCGGGAGGTTTTTTCCTCCTTTTTAAAGTGCTCTTGTAATTGTTTTGATTTTAACCGTGTTTTTGACTTTTTGTGTTTATTCACATAATAAACAGTGATGCGCACGAGGTGAAAAATGTTACGAAAAAAAAGTATTTACAGTCGGCATGTGAGACGTGATAACAATGGCTCTTTCATGCATCATGCTACCGTGCTGTGTAGTCAGAGGGAAATTCAGTAGGCACCTTGAAACACGCCGTAATTGTTTCTGAGGTGGGGTGGTTTATTTGAAATGTATCGGTTAGTGGAGGTCCACTGGCCAACTGGAGGGCATCTACTCTATAAGTGGCTAATCTGTATGCTTGGCTGTACGTTTGTTTCTATAATCTCCACGAAATTCAATTAACAAGGAGTCATTTTAAAACTAAAGTAGTTTATATTATATTAAAACAATACAAATACTTGTTACCTGATCAATCTTCTAATTTGGCGTTTCGGGCCCCTCGGACTGCTTAGCTGCTCTATCATTTACAATAGCTTGGCATGTGATGGCAAGCTCTTGTAAATTCGTACAATAGATAGGGTTATAGAGGGCGGGGTGGCACAGAGAGCTGTTGAAACTCAATGTCTTCTCTTTAGTCTCCAACAAAACCACCTCCATAACAAGGATAGACAACTTATATACAGCACAGCATATCTCAATGTAAAATCAAATACACTTGTATGTACGTGTAGCGCAGGGACGTGCGGTCAGGGGAGGCACAGCCTCACCTGTCATACTCCAATGAGAATAGCTGTTACGAAAAAAAAGAATAATCAAATAAAAATTTACATTTTCCCACTGATCTGTGTTATAAATGTCATTTCTGTACTATTCCAAACATTTTTATAGTCAAAGTCGCCAAATTTGCGGAGCTCCGCTGCAAATACAGGAAGAGACGAGAGGTGAGGCAGCGACGCGCTCAGCCTCCCCTCTGATTGCGCAACCCCTGTTCTGTAATGCTGCGTGTTTTCATAAGGCGAATTGGATATAATTCTATGAATGTATTAGGGAACACATTTTTATAACGCGCATACGAATTAGTTATAAAGCAATCGAGTGAACAGAACTACGTTGCGCGAGTAGGAACAAGCAGTTGTAAGGCGACCTCGGTGTAGCATCACACAAGGTGGGATGCTGCTGGATGCTCTTGATGCTACCCACACGCCTCAGTCTTTGTTCAGGCTGCGTACGCACATCACGTGTTATCGCAGACATTGCTTTACCTTATATTATGCAGGGTGCTTCAACATGTTTTTAACACTTATATGGGACTATCGTTTTTAATGGAAAAAGAACGGATAATACACTAACATGATAAAGAAATGTATGTTAATAGCTGCAAAAAGTCAAAGAGTCTCCACTTGCTCGCCATCATTGTCAACACATGCCTGGAATCTTCTCTAGGTGGTCTCCAGAGCCCGGAGGCACATTTCTTGTGGTATTGTTGCACATTCTCACAAGTATTAAAACAATTTAAGCACCCCGTACATTATTTATTGTAACGCGATTTTCCATACGCGGTGTTCTTCAGGAACGCAACTACCGCGTTATAGGAGAATAGAACTGTATAATCATGCAGGGTCTCGAACTCAGGACACTAGAGGTCGACTAAATTTAAGCTCGATTTCAATTTCTAAGGAATATTTTAAAAAGTGATTCAATATAAAACTGCTACATCTTCCGTGTCGCCTCATAATGAGTTTATGGATAGGAAAGGGGTAGGGGCAAAACCATTTCTGCTCGGGGTCACCAAATAGGCCAGCACCACCACTCAAGGGTGGGAAAAACCCGATTTTTTTGCCTGACAAATTGGGTTATTGGTTTTAATGGAATTAAACCCAATTTTGCCGATTAAAACCTGGTTGTATTATCGGCGTCTCGTGCACACTTCAATCCTGCTCCTCCTCGTCGTCGTCGTCCGCCGCCGCGTCGTCTTCGTCGTCGCTCTCGCCGCTGGACTCGGTGTTGTCGTGGCCATCGCCGGGCGTGGGGTAGTCGTAGAACGCGTTGAGGTTCGACTTAATGAAGACGAGCTTCTCGACTGTGCTGGGCGCCAGGCTGTTCCTCAACTTAGAATGGATAAATCCCATCGTCGAGAAGTTTCGCTCAGACGCAGCAGCAGCGGCGGTCGACGTGGCCATGCCGCCGTGCGCGTGACTCACGCGCACGGCGGCTGAGCCCGGGCCCCGGCCCGAACGCTGCTAATGGGTGCGTGCGACTGAAATCCCGACTTCACTTTAATAAAACTGAATAAAACCGGATTTGGGCAGGATCCAGGTGCTCCGGTTTTATATAAAAAACGATTAAAGCCCGAATGAATAAAACCGGGCCGTGCCAGCCTTGCAAACCACTGCCTGCATGTACCACGAGGAGACGTTTCAATGTCTTGCGCTCGCAGTCTCAGTCTCGCATACTAGACATGCCCCTCACCCATCGCCCACAAACACCGCCTTGTTGTGAAAGAGCCAACGCAAGAAGATCCCTAGGTTTGATCTTCCACGAAGCTCATGGTCCACCCTAAACTGTATCCACTGCACAAACCACGGCAGTAGATGCGGATACCTGATGCACAAGTGGAAAATTAAAAACTCCCCAGTAGTGTGTGACTGTGGTCATCCAGAACAGACCGTACAGCATATAACGACGCAACGCCCGATCCACAAATACGAAAGAGACATCTCAGTGATGATACACTCCACTGCTCTTGGCGCGGTTGTCTGGCTTGACCACCTGAATGTGAGATTGCAGTTGTTGCTCTGCGTCTATATTAGCCAGCTTGAGGGCGGGGTGGGGTCTAAATCAGGAATTCACCATAAAAACACATGATTTCAGTAAAGCAAATCCATATGATCTCGCAAGTGCGTGTCACATAACGGCATATCAAACACAATGTGACAACGAACTCACCTGCGATATAGCAAACTCAAGGTATCCGTGTGCTACCGATTTTGTCTTTATAGTACTGTATTCGCTATTCATGGTTTCCTGCTGCAACAAAAAAATGTTACAGCAATTGTTTTTACCTTTAGCTGGATCCAAGATAATGGATGGAGTGATGATGCAGTGGTTCATGCACTGCGCTATCTGAGTTTGATTCCTGGCCATGGCTGACATCGGTGACATCTGAACAGATCCTGTACCCCCCCCCCAACCCATACCGAGCAGCATGGTAAAGTATGGTCGAACAACAAAAATGACCGACACGGTGTGTGGAGGCCCTTGTACAGCAGTGGACTCGCAAATGAGCTGTAAGGTTTGCTTTTGTAAATGAAAGTGTATTTTGGCATAAACTGAAAAATCTGAGTCTTGCTGCTCCAAACGAGCATGGGGTGCAATGCCATTCTGTATGCAGCTCTCAGCAAGGTGGTCAATATTCCACTTTCCTTTGGGAGGGGGAAACTCGATGTAACCACCACTTCTGCTCCGCCCACTCTCGTCCTAGGCTCTGTGTTCGATGTGTTCAATACTCACGTGGGTCTCATTCCTTTGACATTTGATGGTGCTGTTTGTTGCTGGACGCTTGGCGTCTTTGGGACTCTGCACAGATCAACTTGAATATTTTGATTGTGTGGAATAACCTCCAATATTTGCAATTAATCAATTACACTAATATTCGATTCTGAAGATTGCAATTTAACCGCACTGTATAGCAGCACTTTCAAAACAATTTTGCAATATGACCCTATTTGAATACAAAATTCCTATTAAACTGACAATAACCATAATTTAAAAACATTTCAAGTGACAGGATATTCTGTACGTTCATTTTGTGTCGGTATTATAGAACAACAAATATGATTTTTTTTTTAATAAAGAAATGAAGCAATAATTTGGACTCACCAGGTCGAGTGTCGAGACGCGTGTTGCTTGAGGCATGCGACACAGCTTCTCAAAATCTTGCGGTGTGGCTGACATTGCACATCCCACCTTCAGCGGTCACATCCAAAGTCAGTGCGCTCACTCACGTGTACACTACATGCTTGCAAAGGGCACCATCGGTTTCGAGGCACGCGTTAAGATGTCGGGGTTTGCGGATTCTCTCTTTTCCGTGAGAAAAAAAAAACTCATCACGTGACATTTCAATGAGTTGTTTCGTTTCAGCCGCGGTCACATCCATTGTTTTAGGCTGGGCATTGAAATGGGTTTCGTGCCTAGTGACACCTTTTCACGTCGAAATCAGGGAAATTGGTTGCGAAGTGTGCGTCCAGGCAGCTGAGGTGGTGAGTCTTCGCCCAAGTGGAAAGACACTTTGGAAATTGAGTGGAGCCGGCAGTTCAACTTCAACAAACTCATCTTGCACACACCATCTCTCACGGATGCTGTGATTTGATCGCTCATTTGTATATTTGTGGTTTCATTGCAACATTTGCATTCACGTCGTTTCGTTTCCCAACCACAGGCGCGTCTCGCTTAACGAGCGTTCTCCTTCACGAGAGTCTGCTATAACGCTCAATTTGTTCGCAACACGAGAACATGTTCCCGAAACAAGCGGAGGCCGATCAACCAAACGCGTCCCGTGTTGGCAAGGGCCGCTACGCTACAACAATGGGATCGTATTACCACGTGCCCTGCGCCCAGCCGTCAGATTCTCACTCTCCTGTGCTGCGCATGTCGCTTGAGCACGTGACGCCTGAGCGCGTGACCCAGGTGGGGGCCACGTGGTGTTGGTGGCGGCACTGTCATGGCGGCGCGTGGGGAGCTACTCGCGACTCCCGCTCACGGCCAACACGGGTGACGATTGTACGAGGTGGTCCTGGGACACTCCGAGGTCGACTCGGCATCAAATGAGTACGGTGTGTAAATATCGCCACCGGGGAGACAAAGGCGGCCGGGCGTGGTGTGAGCCACCCACACCCGAGGATCGGCGGGCGGGGCCGCCATCGCAAATTGCCAGCCCTCGTAAACAACAGCGGTCGGTAAGTAAGCTCTTGACTATGCATACATTATTGTTGTGTTACATATAGATTTTATATATCAGGTATGTAGTCTTCTCTTTGTGCCCGGCGCTTAAGGGCTGCAGTTTTTGGTAGCGGCAAGTTTGAGTAAAACTCACGTGTACAGTATTTTGGCGGGACAAATGCTACTGTACTAACATTCGTGGACATATCACAGAATCGTTTTGCGCGTTACCCCCTCCCCCCACCTAGAGGTTCACTCAATGTTTATTTTACTTTCTATCGAAAACAAGTGTTAAGATAAGCGTTTAAAAGTCAAACTTAACCAAGTCGTCAATTTAAGTGTCTTTTGTACATTTATGTTCGTAGGTTTGAATATATTCTGTCTAGATTAGTTTAAAAAGAATGCAACCTTCTCTGGCTACTATTAGCCCTCTTGTAGAATTGTGTTTCAACCGATTACCCTCGCTTGCCTGACCCATCACGGCTCTGAGAAATAAATGTATGACTAATGGACATCAATGTTAACCAGTTGTCCATTTTGTGAGGTATCCCTAACTAGCCAGTAACTTGTAAGCGGATAAAAAAATCAACGGCGTAATTTGTTCGCGCTCGCTGGTTACTTTTGGAAACAACATTGTTGATAATTAATTTAGAAAGGTCTTTTATACCGATCTAGGTCACGATATGGACTTCGATGTTAGCGTGGCAGATTCATACGTGATTATTCACCAGTGACTCATGTTTGCTATAATTTCACACATTTATAAATCACCTCACGTACCCCCCCCCCCCCGGTTGCGAACCACTGGCCTAGAGAAGCCATTAGTGACAGACATTACCATCACATCGACAGTGAGGATGGCTTTATGAGACCCAAGGCGACATGGAATGCACAAAAGACGTTTGAAATGCCAATGTGTTCTTTGCGCGGCATTGACCTGCAAGGCTGTGAGCCTGAAATCGGTGAAATAATGCAAAACGATCCCACCCAGTTGTGTCGCGTCATTGACAATGACCCTGAAGAAGAATGCAGTCGTGTATTTTGACGGTACAATATATGAAATGCACAATCGATGATTCATCTAGATGAAGGGTGAGCAGTCAGATTCATTCCCTCACCCATGTTAACAATTTTGGTCTACCGCACCGACTGTTTGCTCTCATGTACACAGCGCACAGCGAATGACTTGGTGTTTCTACTTTGGCAGTGGTACACAAGCACAACAACAAATACATGGACGCATTCGTCAATAACACTGGCTTCTTCCAGGATAAAATATGGACAGTAAACCCTCTCAAACCACAAGGGTTATGTTCTTGAAAACGCGCGCGAATGTAGAAACCTTGTTGACCAGGAAAAATGGGGTTGCGTTCCTGGCACGAGTGAACATAGGGGGGAATAGTAAATGTTTAATACCACTGACTACAATAAATAATAAAATATGAATGACAATTCGTTTTTATTACCTTTCATGATGATTTGATGACAATGGAGATGGTGAGGAATTCAGGTGGACGACTCATCGGGAGATGCAGGTGTTTGATAACAACAACGCACAGTTATCATTTTAGCACTCGAGAGCACGTCTGTGATAGGCCGACATTTTGGCGTGGACTGTGAGATCCATCAAGAATGAGGCGAATGCAATCAGGGAAAGTGTTGCGGCTATCGCCCCCCAGTGCTGTGTTCTCTTATCAATAACTATCACATTTTTACTGTGAACAAGATTTCTACATATTCTTGGTTCTTTCGGTAAAGTCACGTTGAAGGGAAACAATAAAATATATATAAAACAATAAAATTCTCGCGACGTTTCGACTGCAACACAAGGCTGTAACCCTCGTGAATAGAGAAGGTTTACTATATTGGCATAGTCACTCTGGTTTGTCAGTGCGTCGTCAACCGCGAGCCGGTGGGGAGTGTCAGGGAAAGCTGTCCCAGGTAGTCCAGGAAGCCGGTAACATGACTTCTATGATTTCATGGGTGCCACATTTCTATTTACAGCGATGTTCAATGTACTGCTGGATCACGGCTTTCCTACTAGAGCTCCTTCTACTGGAGGCCCCTTCCACCAACAGTGACGTGAGCAAGCAATTCCAGGGTTGCACCTTTACATTTTTAAAATTAATGTATTTATTTGGTAAGAGCGTGTGTGTGTGTGCGAGTGAGTATCAGAGCATGTGGATTCTGTATGTTCGCCCGCTATTCCGCAGTGTGAGTATGCAAGAGGTTGAGTGAGTGAATATAAGAGTGAGTATAAGAGAGCGTGGAGTTTGTATGTTCTCCCCCATTAACATTGCATTTTACTATATCAACATTGATAAATGGTAACATATATTACAATACAGTAGCCTCTTGACTATCCGTGCTAATGCCGAGGACAGCCATGGCTAATAAAAAATTGCGGACCATCCAAAAATATCCATTTTACGTGGATCTCTTTGCCAAAAACCACTAATATAGATATACATTATGTTTAAGTTAAGGAAATTGAGTTTGTTAATGAACAACATTTTTTTAGTAAAGAATGTATTGATCTTGTTTTTTGTTACAAAAGTATTTGATTTAGAACGAATGCTAACGATCGACCGAACGATGCACATGCTCAGGGATAACTTTCCTGCTCCCGCGCAGAAGACTCGGCCCACTAAGTGGACAGAAGCAGAGCCACGCCAATCAACATCAAACTCCGCCCACTGTTGTAAAGATATGCAACTAAAGTACCGTAGGGGCGATCACATGGATTTCAGATTAACCGGAGCACGTGACTTGTAATAAACATTTCCATGAATAAGTGTATCACTGTTTTTAGATTATTAATTTGGGATTAAGGGAAACATCCATGAGTTATTAATTTGTGTCAATATCAGGTGCGTGGTTAATCCTCAAATGGGATAAATCGCAAGCGGATAATTGAGTCAACTGTATTATGAACTAAATCGACATTAACAACATTGCATTCTTCTATATCAACATTGACAACCTTTATAACATTCTTAACATTGTTTAGAACAATAAACTATGATAAAATTAACAACATTGCATTCTACTTGATAAACAACGATAATATTTCGAAGGTGGTAACATTATTCATGACTATAATAAACTGTTATAACAATTTCTGTGCTCCCCTCTGTCACGCGCGCTCCTTTATGGCGTGCCTTCCTCTACTACTGCTGCCACTAAACACTGAGGGGTTAGCATCTTCATCATTAGACCTCCTTTGCCAGTACCAAAATATAATAATAGGGTTTTTCCCCTTTTTTTTGGCAACGAAACTGAAACCTTTTTACAAGGATCCATGTCTGCATTAACCACAATACTTGCAGTCAAAATGCAAACAGGAAAACATACTATGATAATATATGCATTGTCCTTGAAACTGATTGGTCCACACCAAGGGACGGCTTTCTTTCGAGCCTCGACCCAATTGGTGCTCGACCAGACATGAATCCTTGTAAATAGGTTTCAGTTTCGGTGCCAGAAAAAAGGGGAAAAACCCTATTACACTGAGGGGTTGTTTTCATGGAGGTGGACACCACCTGCATCATGAACATGGCGAGTCCACCTCATCGGAAGCCAAGTTCACATTTCTTCCTGAGAAGTGGAGCTGCTTTGGCTGCATCTGCTGCTGCTGCTGCTATAGCAGACGGACAGAGAATACTACATCCGTGCAGGCCGCCCCGTCTGAAGCCACACTCGGGCACTGCAAGCCTTTCCTCGGTGTGTTTGGCGAGAGGGCGATGTTGAACATTTTTTTGCTAGGACCTTTCCCGGCACGCTGAGTAGGAAGATGCTCCGGTAGTACGGTCCCCCTTATAGAGGGGGACCACTAAGGTATCCTTCCAATCCTGCAGCACGTGTCCTCTGTGGTCCAGAAAGTTGTGATTATATCATATCGGGCAATCTGCAGACACACGCTACCTGGGAAAAGTGCTGTTCGAGAGCACCTGTGAAGGTCGACACATCACACGAGAGGGTGGGTGGCCAACACCACACCTGGCTTAGTCTCCCCAGTGCTGATGTTTTACACACAGCACCAGGTACATGTCGTCCCCGGGTTACGAAAGGGTTAGGTTCCTGAGAACGATCCGTAACCCGAATTTTCCATATGTCAGTAATTGAACAATTTGTCCCTGAATTAAAGCTAAAATCCAATAGCCAGAAATAGTTGTGCCTCCCCTACCTGAATACTAGTTCGTTTTCCCTCAGGACTGTATTGTGCTGTTTTCTATTGCTACCTATATTCTATTGCTCTACATACTCTGCACTTCATATTCGTTTTTCATTTAATCGAATAACACTACCCATAATTAAACTAATGGGACATATTCTGGATCCAATTGTTTATGAATACCAGGAAACATTTTAATAAAAATCGTTAACAGAAAGCAGTCACTTCCGAATGTTTGTTTACCGTGCATTAGGCTAGGCCTAGACTTTACATACACACGCACACACATGCACGCACATTAAATACAGTAAAAACCTAACAATAGAAACATGGGGGAAAAGATAATTCGAAGCATAGAGAACAAACAATAATGTAATGGTATACAAAAATTACATTGCCCATAATCGTGGTGGGGCTTGGTGAAGGAGGCGTTTTGGTGGAGTGAGGCGTAAGGCGGCGTGCCTTATGCGTCCCTCCGCGGTATTCATCCGCAACCTCACCGCGCTGCACTATTTGCGCTTAACTTATGCAAACATTTCTGCATCTTAATTTTTTTATGCATTTATCAGAGCATTTTCATAAAACAATAAAATTCTCACTAAAAGAACCAAGAATATGAATCCCTGCAGTCACAAAAGCTTTAAATCAAATTTCATTTTCATAAAGTCGGGTCTTCCGTAACCCAGGAACTGCCTGTACTCATTTAAGGCTGATTTAGGGGAGGCTCGGAACAGGTTTGTATATTTGTCACTGATAATGGTCGTGAGCAGGAATAGAACTCGGTTCGCTGGGTTCACGCCACTACGCTACTGCTCCCCACTCGCAAACACTTGTACATTATCACACACTCAGACACGCTCCCAAACACATATATACTCGCTCACACTCTACACTCTGCAAAAAAGGGAGACACCATACAAACTCAGCACGTGGTTTCAACTCGGCACTTGCCCCAACGTAGCATTGAGGCTATGGGGGAATCTTCGTGTTTGTTGTTGTTGTTTCAGGACCAGGACCCCCCGGTGGCGGAGAGTCGATCTGCACGATCGTCGCCGGCGCGTGGAGCCACCGGCTCACCGACTACTCCCAGAACGCGTGCGGGAAGGGCAGGTGGTGCACAGCGACACGTGATACATGTGCAGTGGATTCCTAAATATCAGCCTCTTGTCTCCACTTACACATGGCAGGTTTTCTCCCGGGGTCTCCGGTTTCCTCCCACATGATGCTAATCTGTGACGAGTAATGGAATTTGTCGTCAAACATCCAAATGTGGCGGCACCCGCCTCACGGTGTCTTAGTTCAATCGCCGGCATTGCTGTTACGATGCGATGCAGCCGTGGAGACAGGCGTCCTCATTATATGTTGTCTCGCTACTTGTGAAGCCGTCCCACCCCGATTGTCCCCGCCCACCAACACCGCCTTCCCCACAGTTCCTGCACGAGCTCCCAACACGTGGAGCAAGACGTCGCTCATCGTGCTGAACCACGCCTCGCGGCACGACCCAGAAACACACCTGTGAACCAGACACGATTCTTAAGTGTCCCAGAGTTGATTTTATGTCACCAGGTGAGGACTCGAGAGAGGAGCTTGGAAGCATTTGCAAGGGTGAAATAGAGCAAGAACAACCGTATCCTGTGAGGAATCAAGAATATTCCATGAACTCCCTGTGGTGGGAGTCTGCTCGGGCAGATCCTGATCCTGTTCCTCCCTCCTGCGCTCCCCCTCTGCACGTCGATGCGCTGCCACGTCGTCCACCCAGCAGCGAATCAATCGGCGAGCATCTGCTTCTCTCTGTGTCTGCCCCCCGCCCCTACAGCGCAGCTGGGGTCTGCACCCAGCTGTGGCGCGGCGAGTGTGGTGGGAACTCAACACCAGCGGCGCCACTCGCCTACTTGGAACTGCGCGCAGGTCCTGGCGCTCCCCGGGGCAGCTGGCATGGCTACAATGCAACGCAAACTCGCAGGGAAGAAACAGGTGAGTTTGTGGAGGGGAGTAGAGTAAGATGGAAGGGGAGTGTGTGGAGGAGAGTAGAGTGGGATGGGCGGGGACAGAGGAAGCAGAGTGTGTGGAGGGGCGTAGAGTGGGATTCCAGAGGAGCGACAGTGAGTGTGTGGAGGGGAGTACATTGAGATGAGGGGAGAGACTGGTGAGTGTAGAGCTGAGTAGAGTGAGATGAGCGGGGAGAGACGGGTGAGTTTGTGGAGGGGAGTAGAGTGGGATGAGAGAGGAGAGGCAGTTGAGTGTGTGGAGGAGAGTAGAGTGAGATGAGAGGAGACAGGTGATTTTTCTGAGGGGAGTAGAGGGGAATGAGAGGGGTGAGACAGGTGAGTGTGTGGAGCTGATTCGAGGGAGGTGAAAAGGGAGAGGCAGGGGAGTGTGTGGAGGGGTACAGTGAGATGAGAGGTAAGATACAATTGTGTGGATGGGAGTCTAGTGGGATTAGAGGGGAGCGACAGGTGAGTTTGTGGGGGCGAATCGAGTGGGATGAGAGGGGAGAGACAGGGGAGTGTGTGGAGAGGTGTCGAGTGGGACGAGAGTGGGTGACAGGTGAGTGTTTGGAGAGGAGTAGCGTAAGATAGAAGGGGAGAGTCAGGGAAGTGTGTGGAGGTGGAGTACAGTGGATGAGAGGGGACAGAGGAAGGAGAGTGTGTGGAGGGGCGTAGAGAGGGATGAGCGGGGAGAGAGGGATGAGTTTATTGAGGGGAATAGAGTGGGATGAGAGGGGGAGACAGGGCAGTGTGTTGTGAGGAGTAGTGAGATGAGAGGGGAGAGATAGGTGAGTGTGTGGAGAGGAGTACAGTGGATGATAGGGGACATAGGAAGCAGAGTGTGTGGAGGGGCGTAGAGTGGGATTCGAGAGGAGCGACAGTGAGTGTGTGGAGGTGAGTACATTGAAATGAGGGGAGAGACTGGTGAGTGTGGAGCAGAGTAGAGTTAGAAGAGAGGGGAGAGAGGCAGGATAGTGTGTGGAGAGGAGTAGAGAGAGATGCGCGCGGAGAGACGGGTGACTTTGTGGAGGGGAGTAGATTGGGATGAGAGGGGGAGACAGATGAGTATGTGGAGTGGAGTAGAGTGAGGTCAAAGGGGAGAGGCAGGGGAGTGTGTGAGGGGAGTACAGTGGGATGACAGGTTAGTGACTGTGAGTGTGTGGAGAGGAGTACATTGAGATGAGGGGAGAGACAGGTGAGTGTGGTGCGGATTTGAGTGAGATGAGAGGGGAGAGATGGGTGAGTTTGTGGAGGGGAGTAGAGTGGGATGAGAGGGGAGTGACAGTGAGTGTATGGAGAGGAGTAGTGAGATGAGATGGGAGATACAGATGAGTGTGAACTAGAGTGAGATGAGACGGGAGAGACAAGTGAGTTCGTGGAGGGGAGTAGAGTGGGATGAGAGGGGGAGACAGGTTAGTGTATGGTAGGGAGTAGAGTTAGATGAAAGGGGCGAGACATGCGAGTGTGTGGAGTGGAGTCGAGTGAGGTGAAAGGGTAGAGGCAGGGGAGTGTGGAGGGGACTGCAGTGGTATGAGAGGGGAGTGACAGTGAGTGTGGGGAGAGGAGTAGAATGAGATGAAGGAGAGAGACAGCTGAGTGTGACCTAGAGTGAGATGAGAGGGGAGAGAGACAGCTGAGTGTGGCCTCGAGTGAGATGAGAGGAGAGAGAGACAGCTGAGTGTGGCCTAGAGATGAGAGAGGAGAGAGACAGCTGAGTGTGGCCTCGAGTGAGATGAGAGGGGAGAGAGACAGCTGAGTGTGGCCTAGAGATGAGAGAGGAGAGAGACAGCTGAGTGCGGCCTAGAGTAAGATGAGAGGGGAGAGAGACAGCTGAGTGCGGCCTCGAGTGAGATGAGAGGAGAGAGAGACAGCTGAGTGTGGCCTCGAGTGAGATGAGAGAGGAGAGAGACAGCTGAGTGTGGCCTAGAGTGAGATGAGAGGAGAGAGACAGCTGAGTGTGGCCTAAAGTGAGATGAGGGGAGAGAGATGGATTGGTGTGTGAGGGGAGTAGAGTGAGATGAGAGGGGTGAGACAGGTGAGTGTGTGGAGGGGACTACAGTGGTATGAGAGGGGAGTGACAGTGAATGGGGAGAGGAGTAGAATGAGATGAAAGGAGAGAGACAGGTGATTGTGGCCTAGAGTGAGATGAGAGGGGGAGACAGGTTAGTGTATGGTAGGGAGTAGAGTTAGATAAAAGGGGCGAGACAGGTGAGTGTGTGGAGAGGAGTAGAGTAAGTTGGAAGTGGAGAGGCAGGTGAGTGTGTGAAGGAGAGTACAGTGGGATGAGAGAGGAGTGACTGAGTGTGTGGAGGGGAGAACATTAGGATGAGGGGAGAGACTGGTGAGTGTGGAGGGGAGTAGAGTGAGATGAGAGGGGAGAGACGGGTGAGTGTGTGAAGGTGAGTAGAGTGAGATGAGAGGGTCAGGTGAGTTTGTTGAGGGAGTAGAGTGGGATGAGAGGGGTTAGGTGAGTGTGGAGCGGAGTCGAGTGGTATGAGAGGAGGAGACACGTGAGTGTCGAGGGTAGTAGCGCTAGATGAAAGGGGAGAGGCAGGGGAGTAGAGTGGGATGAGAGGGGAGTGACAGTGAGTGTATGGAGAGGAGTAGTGAGATGAGATGGGAGATACAGATGAGTGTGGACTAGAGTGAGATGAGACGGGAGAGACAAGTGAGTTCGTGGAAGGGAGTAGAGTGGGATGAGAGGGGGAGACAGGTTAGTGTATGGTAGGGAGTAGAGTTAGATGAAAGAGGCGAGACAGGTGAGTGTGTGGAGTGGAGTCGAGTGAGGTGAAAGGGTAGAGGCAGGGGAGTGTGTGGAGGGGACTGCAGTGGTATGAGAGGGGAGTGACAGTGAGTGTGGGGAGAGGAGTAGAATGAGATGAGAGGAGAGAGAGACAGCTGAGTGTGGCCTCGAGTGAGATGAGAGGAGAGAGAGACAGCTGAGTGTGGCCTAGAGTAAGATGAGAGGGGAGAGAGACAGCTGAGTGTGGCCTAGAGTGAGATGAGGGGAGAGAGATGGATTAGTGTGTGAGGGGAGTAGAGTGAGATGAAAGGGGAGAGACTAGTGAGTGTGGGGAGGGGAGCACAGTGGATGAGAGAGTACAGAGGAAGCGGAGTTTGTGGAGCGGCGTTGAGGGGGATTCAAGAGGAGCGACAGTGAGTGTGTGGAGGGGAGTACATGGAAATGAGGGGAGAGACTGGTGAGTGTGGAGTGTAGTATAGTTAGATGATAAGGGAGACACAGGTGAGTTTGTGGAGGGGAGTAGAGTTCAAAGAGAGGCAGGGGAGTGTGTGGAGAGTAGTACAGTTGGATAAGAGGGGAGTGACGGTGAGTGTGGGGAGGGGAGTACAGTGGGATGAGGGTAAAAACAGGCGAGTGTGGCCTAGAGTGAGATGAGAGGGTAGAGACAGGTTCTTGCATGTGATGGGGAGTAGAGTGAATGGGTTGATTGGGGAGAGACAAGTGAATTTATGGAGAGCAGTAGAGTGAGATGAGAGGTAGGAGGCAGAGGAGTGTGTGGAGGGGCATGGACTGGAATGAGGTGGGTGAGAAAGGTGAGTGTGTGGAGCGGAGTCGAGTGGGTTGAGAGGGGGAGACAGGTGAGTCTGGAGTGGAGAAGAGTGAGGTGAAAGGGAAGAGGCAGGGAAGTGTGTGGAGGTGGAGTACAGTGGATGAGAGGGGACAGAGGAAGCAGAGTGTGTGGAGGGGCGTAGAGGGGGATGAGCGGGGAGAGAGGGATGAGTTTATTAAGGGGAGTAGAATGGGATGAGAGGGGGAGACAGGGCAGTGTGTTGTGAGGAGTAGTGAGATGAGAGGGGAGAGATAGGTGAGTGTGTGGAGAGGAGTACAGTGGATGATAGGGGACATAGGAAGCAGAGTGTGTGGAGGGGCGTAGAGTGGGATTCGAGAGGAGCGACAGTGAGTGTGTGGAGGTGAGTACATTGAATTGAGGGGAGAGACTGGTGAGTGTGGAGCAGAGTGGAGTGAGAAGAGAGGGTAGAGACAGGTGAGTTTGTGGAGGGGAGTAGAGTTAGAGGAGAGGGGAGAGAGGCAGGATAGTGTGTGGAGAGGAGTAGAGAGAGATGAGCGGGGAGAGACGGGTGACTTTGTGGAGGGGAGTAGATTGGGATGCGAGGGGGAGACAGGTGAGTATGTGGAGTGGAGTAGAGTGAGGTCAAAGGGGAGAGGCAGGGGAGTGTGTTGGGGGGGGGGGAGTACAGTGGGATGAGAGGTTAGTGACTGTGAGTGTGTGGAGAGGAGTACATTGAGATGAGGGGAGAGACAGGTGAGTGTGGAGCAGATTTGAGTGAGATGAGAGGGGAGAGATGGGTGAGTTTGTGGAGGGGAGTACAGTGGGATGAGAGGGGAGTGACAGTGAGTGTATGGAGAGGAGTAGTGAGATGAGATGGGAGATACAGATGAGTGTGGACTAGAGTGAGATGAGAGGGGAGAGACAAGTGAGTTCGTGGAGGGGAGTAGAGTGGGATGAGAGGGGGAGACAAGTTAGTGTATGGTAGGGATTAGAGTTAGATGAAAGGGGCGAGACAGGTGAGTGTGTGGAGTGGAGTCGAGTGAGGTGAAAGGGTAGAGGCAGGGGAGTGTGTGGAGGGGACTGCAGTGGTATGAGAGGGGAGTGACAGTGAATGTGGGGAGAGGTGTAGAATGAGATGAAGGAGAGAGACAGCTGAGTGTGGCCTAGAGTGAGATGAGAGAGGAGAGAGACAGCTGAGTGCGGCCTCGAGTGAGATGAGAGAGGAGAGAGACAGCTGAGTGTGGCCTAAAGTGAGATGACGGGAGAGAGATGGATTAGTGTGTGGAGGCGAGTAGTGAGATGAAAGGGGAGAGCCTAGTGAGTGTGGGGTGGGGAGCACAGTGGATGAGAGAGTACAGAGGAAGCGGAGTTTGTGGAGCGGCGTAGAGGGGGATTCAAGAGGAGCGACAATGAGTGTGTGGAGGGGAGTACATGGAAATGAGGGGAGAGACTG